GTTGGAAACTTGGTAATACAATTACATTGGGATTCCTACTGTTAGAATTTAGTACTGACGAAGTGAGTAGTAATTAAGTGAGTACTAATGGAATAAGTACAAATTGATGAATGGAAATTAAAACATGAACTCTAAATTTTGAGTTTAGTCGTCAAACTCACTTTTCCAGCCATCTCTGTATAACCTTAGATATCTCATTTGAAAATATTTATTTAATCTACCTATATACATCTCATTCGTCTTAGTAGAAGTGGATTAGGAACTCTTCAACGCAGAACAAAGATACTGAAATCTCAAAAATAAAACAGAACAACATATAGACACATTTTCCCAAAACCAATCTAAGAAGAAGAAAGCCAAACAAGTCAAACACTTCTTAAAAAGAGCTTGCAATTTCACCATCATGCGACATCATTGTGATATTTCCTTTTAACTTCTTATATCAGAAATGAAATAAAAAACCCTATTTGATAATGATTTTCGTATCTTACATGGCGCTCTTTCTAATAGTGTATTCGAAATTAAATTTATTCTTGATTTTTTTTTTGACAAAATATAGCAATTTTCTAAAGAGACTGTACCACTTGGTCATTCTTATTAACTGACCGTTTTGCAACAACAAAAAATATTTTTTGAATCGTTTTGTTCTGGTAAGTTTCTATGATCTGATAGATTTTCAACAAATACACACAAAGAATTCAATTCATGCATAGTTTTTGAAGATTCTTGCTGGTTTACTTTCGAATTATCGTCGTTGCAAAACTGGTTTACAAAAAAACTTCAATTTACCAAAAGTGACTTTAGTTAAACTTTTGATGAACTACAGTTTAGTGAATTTTTCTACTAGAATTCTGTTCATATAGCTCAAAATAGTTGATAAAGAGGAATTTTTCAAGTTGCAAAAACTTTGCAAGAACTTTTATAGACGTGCTTAGTGTCTGGCTTTGTCTCCTTTTCAGATTCATTGTAAAAAAATTTGTCTCATACAAAGATTGTAGTTCAGACATTGATCTTTCTAACAAAACAAAAATTCCTTGATTTCGAAGTTGGCAATATGGTCTAACGTAATGTGACATTTTTCGAAAGAGTTTTGAACCGCTTATTAATATCTTGTTGAAATTATATAGAGCTGTGTGTTTCATTTTGTAAGGAATTGTTAAATTAATTAAAGCGAACTTCTAACAAACATAGTAGATACTAAATTACACTAGTGTTTGAATAAGGTAAGGTCAGTCAAGCGAATGTTTAATAATTTTGTTTATTTTTCTCGTTATTTCACAGATTTTTATGACATGTCATCAAATTTTACTCATCATTTACCGTTGTGTAAAAGTTGTCTGCTTCGTCACTTCAACCACTTCGAGGCAGACCCTATGTAATTCTTCTCATATTTGGTCATATAGCGCAAATTCAGATCATATTACGTTGCAAATCATGCTTTACAGTTGTTCGTTTCGTATTGTACTAATATTTGATACATGTTATATCGAGTGCAAGAAATATCTTCCGAGTTATTGCTCCGCTAATAATAAATCTCTACTTCATTTTAATCCTTCCGTCTTGCTTCATTATTTGTTTATACTGCAACGTGTTATTTTCTTTTTTCACGACCTACAATGCAGTGAAAAATGGTTTCAAGTGCAATACGCGAATTTAAAATGGCTTAAGAAATGTGATTGGTGTTGCTAAGGGAAAAACCAATCAAATTTCTGAATTTGCTTGAAATTTTTGTATTCTGTTTGAAGTCAATAAAAACTTAACGCTTCGTACGTCTTGTAAGTTAACACTAGATCTAACTCAGCCATCTATCTGCTTACTTCCTTTAATAACATTGTTCGCATGAGATGGCAATTACTAATATAAATAATATTTTCATTGTGTCACTGAATTTAGGTCATAAAATATTTTTTAATCGACAATTCAGTCTTTCAAATATTGCCTGTATTTCAATGACTATGTGTAATCTATAGACGAAATTAATGTAAGTAGTAAAGAAAACACAGACAAGTTTTAAAAAAAATGTTGTTCTTTCATATAACATAATTAATCAATGTTGATTCGCATATGAATCAAGTTGCCTTCATGTGATCAAAACTATTGATCAAACTAAAAGGAATTCTTCATACTTGCTTTTATTTATTAGTTTTATTTTTTGTCATCGTTTCTTGTTCTTACATTTTTGTGCAGTCAATTTAAAATTATCTTTCATCTATAGATAAGAATTTTTATGCTAGACAAACTATTAGTTGTCTTTTTGAATATTAAGATGAAGTTCATGAAGACTGACAAAAATTGCCGGTAGTGCATGCTTTTAACTACCTCTAACACTGTAATACTATAATAGTATAACAAACGAAAGAGGAACAAATATATAAATGAGTAAGAATGCATTTTGATGAATAGTGATTGTGAAAAATTAATCATAGACGAATGATTAGGAAGTAATTAACGCAAATTACATCCTTCAAAAATAACTATGAATGCTACATTGAACCAAAAATAATTTCATACTATTTTATGTACCCACGTTATGACATAACATTATCAAAAAATATGAATCATTCTATATCAAATAGATTACTGTCAAATGCCATTTTTGACAATTAGTAATTGCCAATTTTCTGCATTTTCCTACATAAATTACCAACAATGTTGGTTAAAAGTATTAATTTTTCTTCATAAAAAGCATTACTCATGTTATTTTGCTTAGTTAATATGCTTTAGGACAACAATGAATCGTGACATCGAAATATGTATTCCCGATAGGTATATTAACCTTTCCATTGGTGCTAACCAGAAAGAAACATTTTATTCAACCGGTCATATTTCTTTTATGATTTACTTTTCTTCTATTCACTTCTTTTCTCAAGTTTCTTTTTTTTTGAGTGAATGTCTAAATTAAATAATTTTCTTACTATTTTGAAAGCCCAAATGAGAATTCTATTAATGAATTTGGATATAACAACAACGATTAAAAACTCAGCATTGATTTGTTGTAAAAGAATCGTATAATGTTTTTCAATGTTAGTGTTGTCATTTTCATTACTCTTACCGTTGCATAACTTTCACAACAAATTTTGAAATATCAACTTGATAAACATGAGAATCCTATAGAAATCTTAAGTCGTTTGAAATTCTCCTAAGAAGAATTAAATTCGTTGAACACGAAGATTTCATATAATCATAAAATAAATTAAGTGATTATCATAGAAATAGTAAAACGTAGTTTTTGATGTTGAATCTTAGAACAGTTGTTTTTGCTATCCATATAGCAATAACGATTTGTTTCTTTTTCGTTGTGATGAAAACAATTAAGCTTTTTCTGATTACTCATCTGTGTGAAATTAATAATTCCAAAATCATGACTGTACGCTTACTAATTTTCTCCAGAATATTTCTTTTTTTTTCTTATCGCTATCATATGATTCATACTCATTTTAGTACAAAGCCAAAGCATATAACTGCAGTACTACAGTAATAGATTATTTTTAGCATTATACATTTTTCTCTGACAACGTGGTCCCTAAATAATGATTCAGATAGGCATCGAATATATAATGTGAATTCGATTCTTATAAACCATTGTTCTTTCGAAAGAATCATTTATCGGTTTGTAACTCACTGTGTGTCTTTAGATCACTTTTGTCACTAATAGAGATGTAAAAAGGGAATTATGTCTTAGTTTTTTTTCCAATTTAATCAAATTAGTAAAGCAGGAAGTATGAGGATTAATCATTGACATACAATCTATCCTAGGTTATTAAAAAAGTATTATTGTCGATAATTGATATTGATAAAAAGTTTACTTAACGCTTTACTCTCTTGTTATTTATTCATTCGTTGAACATATCAAAATTTATTTTGAGTTATCCATTGTTAAAATTCGAAAATAGATGTCGACATAAAATTATAAATTCAGTAACTACTAAAAGCAAAAAAAACAGAAATTCTTCATCATTTTGCCATGGTGAAACCAAAATAGTTTTGTAAATTGAATTTTAGAATTGTTTATTTATTTTTGTCGCTAATTTTTCTTGCATAAGTAATGTCGCCGAACTAGAACATCATTTTAAATGAAAATAAACAATAATATTAGTGCATGATAGTTTCCAACAGATAGAAGCATACCTTTTAAATATATAGAATATTGATGTCACGAATTGTGACAAATTCCGAGGAAGAAGCTGATAAGTGACGATATTTTTTGATGAGTAGTATAATGATGAATCAAGACATGAAGGTTCTAATTGCGTCTAGACATCTATCGGTTACCCAACTCTTCTCTGTATTTTTTCTTCGAGAAACACTCGTGACATTTACGCCTTCACATACATGAAAAAAAGTCTGATATGAGTGATCAGGGGTGTCCCGATGGAGGGTTGTTGGAGCCGCGATGCCCCCAATAATCGAAAATTTTGTTTTTTTTGGTCGATGATTTTCGAAAATCTTTTAAAATCTGTAAAAAATTTTCGAAAAAAGTCATCGACGTCTCCTCCCCCCAATACTTTCCGTCCCCGAACCCCCCCTGTGAGTGATTCAAAACTAAAATTAGTCAAATGAAATATTCTGATTGATTCGAAAGAAACTATATAAAGTTATTCTAGTTCTTATTGATGTATAGTTTCAGATTAGTGCAGACTCACTCCTTTTCTACTCTCAAGACATAATGTTCGAATAACATGATTGATGGCAGTGTCGAAAGAAGCACATATTTCATTTGGAGGACTGAAGATAAATAATACAAATACTATTAATACTAATCTATTTTGTGAATTATGTAAATTATTGCTGCTTGAACCTATACAACTTTTATGTTGTGGTACGCGTTTATGCCGATGGTGTTCAAAGAAAGGCATACCAGAGAGGTGACTATTTCTCAGTTATATTTAAATATTGCTCATGCTGAAGAATATGTTTGTATATAGTGAACCATTTATTTGCTTATTTTGTCATACGAAACAACCAAACAAGCAGGTATAAATTATTCATTATTTCTTTGTATGAAAACAAATTTTATTGTTAAACAGGCACTTGCTGACCGAGGAGCTGAACGAGAATTAATGATGATTAAAATTGATTGTTATTCATGTTCTTGGAATGGATTATACAATGATTATAAAGTATTTCATTTTTTTTCAAAATCTCGATAATAACTTCTTAACATATGAAAAAATTGTTTAATTCTTAGGAACATCTCGGACAAATACATGCATATTTAGAATGTAGTAATTGTCATAAACATTTTTTTTCGACAAATCTATATGAAGAACATCTCCAAGAGCTTTGTGAAAATCGATCAGTACAGTGTGGATTACCTGGTTGTATCGAGCGAGTATGTTCTACTGTCATATTTAGTAATTTTGAATGATTATTTCTTTGTCATTAGATAAAATGGTCTGAAATAGGAAAGCACTTCTTATGTGAAACACATCAGAAAATATTACTTGAAGTTATTACTCAATACTTTTTTCTGAAAAAATGTTTAGCTAATAATGTTAATTGCTCGACAACTACATTTAACGTTGTTAGTAATATAGAACAAGAACTGACTACTGTTCAAGAAAATATTAATACTCTTCTACCAGGAGTAGAAAATTCTTTGAATAATTGTGCAAGATTGAAATCTGAACATGATCAAATCAAAGCAACATGTGATAATTTAACTTCACAAAGAACTACAGTAAGAAAAATGATCCAAGACGGTAATGAAATAACTAATAAATATATACAAGAGCAAAACGAAATGGAAAAACAAATAGATCATATTAATAAATTACAAATCATTACGAAGACTTTTACATTAGATAGTGATAGTACAGCAACATTTGCTTTTATTAAACATTCTCACGAAATGAATGTACCATTTTCAATATATTCGCCAAGATTTAAAACATCACAGTTTGGATATTGTTTTATGATCCGCGTATGTTCAACTATCATATCTGAAAATGAAAATCAAGAATATTTATCAATTTACATAACATTACTTCGTGGAGAGTTTGATCCAATCCTTTTGTATCCATTTCCTTATAACATATATCTATGTTTATGTGATCAATCAAACCAAAGAAAACATATTGTATCAATAATTAAAGCTGATGCAAATAAATTATCATTTATGCGCCCAACAAGCGAGAAGAATGATGAAGTTGGTATAATTAAATTTTGTCCATTGAATTTTCTCAAAAATGGACAAAATAATTATTTAAAAGATGATATCTTTTTCATTCGAATATTTATCGACTTCATGAATAATGGAATAAATCCTTTTAATGTGATTATTGAAAGATCTAACATAAAGTGAAGATGTTCCGTCGTATGTTCGCTATTATGATTCTATTATGAACTTTTCGATCTATTAACGTTTTTATTCAAGACAAAACGGACAACCTGCTATAACTAAAACCTGCAATATTTTTTGTATATTTTACTGTAAAGTTAATAGTTATAGTCTATTTAGAACTCAAGATTTGTTTTCTATTCTTCTATATTCTATTAAATGTTCCCGTAATTTTCCAACATGGTTTTACATTATCTGAATGAAAATTCAGTTTAAAATTTAAAATTTTGAAATCTTCATTTATAGTTTCAATTGTTTCTTCATCAAGATTATCTAAAGGAAATGTCATATCAACATTAAGAGTTTTTAATTGAGGCGTATATGTATCAAACAATTGAATCCATGTATCACTTCTAAGTAAATCTATACGATATTGTTTAGAAGGAAAAAAGGAACATTGTAATTTACATTGACGTAAAAATGGTGAATTACGAAATATACTAAGAAAAATATCCGTTTTCAAACCATCTAATCGAAGATTAAGTTTACGAATTGATGTAAAATAAAGTTGAGGAAAACGAATTTCTGATGAATTAAAACTAGAACGAAATTGAAAATAATATAAATTAGGTGAATAATAAAGTATTGATTGAAGAGTTTTCCAATTACAATAAACAGTTAAAATAAGATATTTAATATTTGTTGATTGAAATGTTGATGGAAAATTTAATTGTTCATATAATTCAACCATTTTTAAACTTGATTTTGATTCATGTAATTCAAAATGTTTTAATTTTTGTAATTGAAATGCACATTCAAGTACTCGTATTCCTATATTTGATGATATATTTGGTATATCTTGATTTCGTATATGTAATGACAGATGTTCAAGATAATATGGTGGCCAATTATTATTTTTTTCAAAAAGTAATAATGGATTATCAACATCACGAAGTACAAGTGAACGAAGTGCAGTAAATTGAAATATTGATGGATTATATGGTCGAGTTGGAACATTAAGTGAAATAACTTGTGTTAATTTAATATGTGGTAAAATCCATCGAATAAAATAAGAATTATTTGACCGAACATGTAATCGAACATGACCATTAGCTAATAAAGTTGGTAAACAAGGTATAAGAAGACAAAATGAATAAAATATTTCATGAACATTAAAATAAGATAAAATTTCAATAACAACATCGATACATAAGTCATGAAATCTCGTAATTGTGGTCATAGCTTTTTTTTTAAATATAAAATGTTTATTTTGCTACTTATCTGATACACTGCGTTGTCATGTTTATTGTCTTGTAAAAAATGCTTTGTCATTCTTGCTTTCAAATGTGTTGATTTGACAGACATGTGATTTTTTTTTGTTCTTTTTTATAGGATGTATTAGAGTAGAATCAGAAATGGTGTTGGTCAGACCAGTATAGGTATGTCAATAGTGTAACAATTACTCCTTCTCATCGTCGTTAGCTCTTGAATATTTTCGTTTTTCTTCGGTGAAACTAAATAACTTTCTTTTGCATTCTTTTAGAAAAAAATTTCACCCATTTCAAAAAACTTGCGACCTCTTCGCTCCTTGATGTCGGTTGTTGTAAGGTATTGCTGACGAGAAAAAGCAAAAAAAAGCATGCTGCTATACTGTCATAAAAAAAGAGACCTTGACGATTCTTTTGCATGCATAGATCAATGACCTTATATGAAGATGCGCTATTGCATATTAGTTAATCAATGAATGATAATGAATTTTATGTAGTGCAAAATTCATTGTTAAATTCTTTTAACATATACGTTATAATACTTTTTATTTTATTATCTTTCATATTCTTGTTGCTAAACATCGTCCTCTTTCATTTCAAATGTTGATATTTTTGCACTCAAATTTTTTCTACTTTGACCTAATAATATTTTTCTTTAGCGAGTGTATTTACACGCAAAAGTTTTTGCTTCTGCAAAGCTACCTTTGATTTCATATAGTGTATGTTTCAATTTGCATATTGATTTAATTAACCAAAACAAATAAACAAGTTATATATGCTTGAAACCGACAAAAAACTATTCAAACTGTAAAACACTAAGAATATTTTCATCAAGCGACTAGGTCAACATTCTGTTTAAATAATATTTTTCTAGTCATTCATACAATTTTATTTTTTTTACTCTTATTTTGATTGCTTTCATTTGCATTTTTTCTTTGAAAAGCAAAGGTCAAATACGTATATATTTTGCAAAAAAAAAAGGACAAAGTTTTGTTTTTACAGTAAAAAATGTATTTACGTCTACTATTATATTTTCCATGCAAAGTATTCATTTGATATTATATCAAGTTCATAGAATCTGAAGAATTCAAATCAATACCATAACATAAAATTTTCAATGCACAAATAAAAGGATTAAAAAACGACAAAAACGAATCAATTAATATGAGCAACATCTATATGAATCTGAAATATGACACTTGAACAGTTTTGTCAAAAATAAAATGAATGAGATATAAAATTTAAATACTTATAGAATAGAATGGTTTGAAATTAAATCTAAATCTTAGAAAAAAGTGTCATATCATCGAAACAAAATGTTATACTCAACACTCATAGTGAATATTTTGAAAAGATAATTAAAAAAAAGGAATGAAAAACCAATATCAAATTTTCAAAGTCTCATCTCTCAGCAAGGGTAATTCAAGAAGATCAGAAAAATGAAAATATATTTATTGATTGAGATAACATTACATTGGGTCAATTTTTACAATATTTTCGTATTGAATGAATGGACAATTGATTTTGATAACGTATTACTTCGACGGACTTCAATAACTTAAGCTGAATTTTACAAAATAGATAACCTGAGCGTCGAAAACAATTAGATAAATTATTTAGTTGTGACAAGCAACAATAATAATTAATCTACCATGTAGATCGTGGTGAATATACACAACTAGATTCTCTCTATTTAAAGTACTTTCTAACTTTTAGTAATACTTTATACAGTGTGAAAGTGAATAGGATACAACCACATTGATGCGAAGAAAAATGATAATACAACTATTCAACTAGTGTTTATTATTTTCTGTACAGAAAATATACTTTAAAAATCAACGAACAAAGAATCATGATAATAAGAGTATATTTTATTTTTCGTATTAAGTACAAACTAAAAAATATGTATTTATATCTTCATCTATTCGGGTAATGTACATAAACAAACATTTATCTATTTGAACTACTTGTTAATTTCTTAGATTCTATATGTATTGCATGAATACAATTGATTATTAAGTGATAGTTATATTTGCTAACATTAGATTTGGCGTCGTGGTCAATGTAGTGTACATTTTAACAGTTGTTAATCCAAGAATTTTTCTTGTAACTACTTTAAGTCGAGTAGTCATCTGTTTTTTTGGATTTGATGAATTATTTTCCTTTGTCATGAGTACTAATGATGAATTATCTAAAATACATCGATCACATTTATTTTTATGGAGGAGAAAAAAAACAAAACAAAATTCTTAATTACTTTGGTTTGACAAAGTTTTTGGACGTGGCCAATAAAGTGGAGAAAGGCCAGTGATTATAGCAATAATAGCCAGTGCCGTAATGATGCTGACTAAAAGAATAACACTTTGTTTGAAAGTCAACATCTATTGATTATTTGCATAAATATGCACTAACAATGACAAGAAGAAAAAAAGAAAAAAGAAGATTCATTGTTGTTCAATAGTATTTAGTAACTGAACAATGTTCTTTATTTATGTATGATTATGTCTCTATTATTTAAACGTAAAACTATGTTTGTCAACAGATTAAACGCATAAATTTAGTTTGAAACATTCGAAAAGAAGAAAAGACAAATCCTTAATGACCTTTGGACAAATTTTTTTTCTTTGTTTTGATAATTATATTGCAATCGAAGAAGATTATCTTATGTAAAGTAAACAATTCATCTACGATTATTCGAACAATTTCAGATTCGATAATATAATTGCATATACTTAAAACTTAATGTTTTAAGTTTATTTAATTTCCAGCTATGTTCCAGTTTTTGAGATACATGTACAACATAAAAAGTGTTCACGTCAACACAGTTGCAGTTCCCGGACACTAGCCAGGAGATAGTAGTCGTGGTTAAAAATTGATTTCTGAAGGTCGTTCGAGGTAATATAACTTGTTCGTTTTCATTTCTGATGAAGAAAAATAAAAAGAAATTTTGTCAAATTGGTGGTGACCGTCGCTTTGTCACACCTTAAATCCGTAATTGAGTCTACGATTAGTTTTTTTGTTACAGAATTTGAAAGAAAATTTATGCCTATCCTTCTAATCGTGTTATATGTTTGTTCTTATTCCTTTTAGAAGCAAAGATATATTCGAAAAAACAAAACCATTATTAATCACTTTAAGAGAAATCCTTTATCAAATCAAGATTTGATATGTGAATCAACAAATACGAATAATTTGATTCCAACTAGGATAGGTAGTAGAAAAATACATCACATCTAATAAATACGTTTTTCAATTCCCAATATGCTAATTTAAACAGTAGTATAAGTGGAGATTCAATTGTTATTGTATGATATTAAATAAAAAAAATAACTATTGTCAATGCGTGATAAATCATGTGCACTTAGATAAGTGGATAATCACCAAGTATGAATCATTAATAAAATTCTGATTTATCAATGTGAGATTTTGAACATAAAATCAATTCGTTTGAGTTGAATATAGTTCTACTATTACTAAACAATCATGACTGTCCATTACAAAATAACGGAGTAACGATATATAAACAAAAGCTCATCCGCCGCTTTTAAACTTGCCTAATAAAATATTAAGATTAGGTATACAATGTTGACTGCAATTAGAAAAGATGAGTTGTCGCCAAGAAAGACAAGCTTGAGATTTCGATTAATTTTACATTTAACTGGAACCATATAAAACAACTGTCTTACATTATTTTGAAAAATATTGAGACCAATATGTAACGACGTTAACGATAAGCAGAGATATTCAGTGCCTTTG